TCATACTCTCTGGCAATTTGACAATACATGGGTTTGTTTAAGCTGATTTTGATGATTTTTTGAATGGGAAATCCACTACTTGGTCAACCGATTAAGGGAATACTTGATATCTTTGGGGGTCCTTAAGCAACTCCTTGGATATAATGGAAAATCCTGGATTCAATGGATGGATGATCCCAGAATTCCTGGGTGATCATACTTGCTTTATCCATTATTCTGGATGAATGAGGTAGCAACCTCAACGTGATGTCACTGGAAGGAAATTAGGGGAATCATCGACCAAAATTGAGGAATAGTGGATGGTTTGACGGAAACCCTGTCATGGAATAAAGGATGAATCATCCCATAAATGAATGGTTGACCATGATTATTTTACCCTCTGGTAAACTAACATAACTATGGAAAGTCACCATTTTTAATGGGAAAACTCACTATTTCAATGGCCATGTTCAATAGCAAACTGTTAGTTTACCAGAGGGCATTCCAGATATTATGGGATCATCCATTAATTTTCCCAGATGAAGCGAGATAAAATAATGATCTTATGCGTGAGAATGATTCATAAGTATGATGAAGTAAATAGCAGTAAAATGATCATGATTCTGGAATAATTTGATAAATTCAGCTATAATTTTATTACTGCAGATATAAAGTGCAAAAGTAGTTATATATATATATAGTTACATTCCATAAAATCCTAAGATCCATAGGTAGAGTTATCCACTTTTGGATATTGGATGTTTTCATATGTTTTCTTAAGTAGTTATATAATCATGGATGGATTAATGTTGCGTATAATTTAACTATCGTTACTATTTATAGCTGGATGATAACACTAGTGATACATAGTACTGTAATTAGTTTTAGTGATAGTGGACTGAAATTCACATATGATGGCTGAAGATGGATATGGAATTTATTGAAGAACTCATTGGGATTACAAAAATTGATCATGCATACGGAAATTTACTAAAATCTGCAATGCTGAAGTACGCTGGTTAAATTTCACTTTTGGTGGTTATGTCCTGATCTCAGGCTGGATATAAGATGAAAGATGGTGCCCCTGTTCGCGAACGCTAAGTTCGCAAACCTACTGACCTACTGTAACTGTTGGGTGTATGGTAGATATGGGAGGTAGAACCCACTCGCAATTGGAAATTATTGGATTTAATTTGGGTTAAATCTCAAAAATTGCTGTTGCTTAAACCCATCATATGTTTCACGATGTTTCCTGCTTAAACGATTGGGCACTCGAAGCCAGGAACCAGTGAGCGCCAAGAAAGTCCTACATGAAGCGATTGGCCGGGAGCTGAGTTGAACAAATGTTGGAGGATCATTAAAAACGGTCCACGGTCCTCGGGTTCAGTGGGGAAGAAACCTACAGTTACGGTCCGCAAAACCTGTTTTAAGTCAGTGAAATAACCCCAGAAAAATGGAATGATAACCCCATTTGTAACCACAAAAAAACCTTAAAAACAGTTTTCAAGTACCCGTTTATGGACCAGAAAATTCATGAATTTGACGTTCCCTATTTACAACTAGCTGAGACATTGGTCCAATTTGTGGACTAAAAATTCTCGAACAGCTGGTAGTTGTGAATTGGACTTTTTGATCATTAAATGGTTAGTTGTAACATGTTGTAACCCATTCTTGGTCCCAAGTCCAGTTGGTAAGTCCCCGGCTATGAATGGATTATAAACCATTTACAGTACCAACCATACATTAGTTATCCTTGGCGGTGCATCCCACTTCGTAAATGTGTTATACCCCCAGTTCCGTTAATGCCTATCCCCTACTATATATATATATATAATTATTCACATATATATATATATTATACACACATATAAATAGTTATATAATATATACAATATATATATACACATTTAAATAGTAGGATATATATATATAGAGATCTATTTATCTATTTATGTATGGATTATAAATTATAAACCACTTACTGTTCGTGGTATTCACATCCAAGTATCCCAACTTGGTCTCGGTGACACAACTGGGGCACCACCTTCGCCGTGAGGCGATCTCATCGAGCGCTCGGGGGGCCCGGGATCGCTCAGTTGTGCCATCGTCTTGGGCGGTACCTGCGGCTGGGCAGACGTCAGCAGGGAATTTCAGGATCCTGAAATGGAGCTACTGTAATTACCGTAAGACCATAGTTTGTAGGGATATTGCCTTACATAGGCCTTATATAGGCCTTATTATATATATATATATATGTGGTAGGTACCTCCAATTTAGGTTCCTGAAATGGCCATTGAAGAACTGGTTGCGCAGGTCTGGTGTCCTCGAATATGGCAAGCTGGAAATCCCCATAATCAACATAGATGGGATTTTAGTGGGAAACTCATGGAACTTGAGGGAGTTTTACAGCAAACCATGTTTGATCAGAGAGGAGCTGCTTGGTGGTCAACGGTTTTTGGGCGTGAAGTTATCCACAAATAGGGCGGATGGAGGGGGTCCTTGACAGTCGCAGCTTGTGAGTATGTTCCCGAAAGAGCGAGAGAGAAAGCGGGAATATGCCATTTTTGAGTTTGTTCACTTGAGGGTGAAAGAAAGCAGTGGCAGGGCCAATTGGCTGGTCACCTTCAAGCTTTGGAACCAAAGCGGTAGATTGCCGCCATCCCAATTCTTGCTTGATTCATAGAAGGGGGCAACCTTTCATGTTCCACATGCGGCAAATGCACCTGCACTGTGCGTGGGCCATCGTCGGCCAGTTATGAGTTGATTTATAACCCCATGAATCTACAAAAAAAACTGTCACAAACCACTTTTATGCTTGCTGTAAACCACCCATCTAGGGAGCCCACCTTGTGCAGGTGCCAAGCCCCAGAAAAAAGTAATTAGTAGCCGGATGTGATGGGGCTACGTTTCGCGTGGCATTTGGGCTACAAGGGGAACAAAAAGCCAGTTGCTACTAGGCCGTAGCCGAGTAAATCTAAGTGGAGGTATATATCCGGTGGTAATTCAAGATTGCTACAGAAAATGGCCCATTTGTAGATCATTTGCCTAGCATTTTCATGGTGGTTTTCCAATGTTTTCCATAGCGCTGTCACCAGAGGGCATTTAAGGCATTGGATGACGAAGTGGGGCCCACCTGGTACCAACCCCAGCACCCAAGGTGGAAGCCTGCTATGGATTCCAGGGGCTCCACGGATTGAGGTTCCTGCGGAGAAATTTGCTGAGTTTCTCTATAGATTCTGGGGGATCGAAAGAAACGAAATGTAGACTTATCCACCCAGTCTGTGTGATCTTGTAAGGGATGAGAGCCAATTCTTGGCCAAGATCAACTTTCTTGCGTACCAGCCTGGTACTTCGCTGGTTCATGTTTTCTTGGTGTCGGTGTGGCCCAAAAATGGGGCACTAGCGGGCCCACAAGACAGCTGTTTTGGCCCCCTCCGGTTATAAAACACTGCAAGAAACCCAACAGGTTCGTGGTAAAATCATTCGAGTCAGTAGATTGCCAGAAGAGGCGGATGTGGATCATTTTTTCCAAAAAGTGGCACACTAAAGCAGCCCAAGATTTTTGTAAACCAAGCATGTCGCAAGATTTCCTCCAAACAAATCCCACAAAGACCTGAGTTTGAGATGTGTTTTTTTCCTTGAACCGCCGCATGCACAGGCATTTACATGTGCTACGTATTGTAACGTGTTGTTTTCCCAAAAGAGAAGGTGGTTATGAATCCAACCAATAGGGGGTTATAATGGTTTAGATACCCATTATATTTCCAACATGAGATGGATGACCATAAGCCATGTACCATGTAGCAGCTTGACCATGGCACACATGATCTTACAATCTTTTAATCTCATCCAATATGTGACACACTCCTCAGAAACCATGGATTGGTCGCGGATTTACACGTGTATTTGGGACCATTGAAGGGAGCTGTGTATCATGGGGGATGGGATTGTAATTCTTATCTTCTTGTCAACTAGCGGCGATAGGATTTGGAATGATTTGTGTTTGAAAATAGACAACACCATCTATCCATTGGTTAACTGTTCCCATTGGACAGGCTCCCCCAGTAGCCAGGTCTCAGGGATCGAGTTGAAAGGCTGGAAAGCGCCCTTGGCTGGCGCTGCATTTGGCTTGTACAGCGTGCAACTACCAGAAGGATCGTGGGCGCCGGGTTGGAGGGTTGGAGGGTTGGAGGGTTGGAGGATTCAGAAAGTGGTGGCCCATGGTGGCCCCAAACCTGAGGTGGGTTGATAAATGTTGACAACCCCCAACTAGTTTGGATATGTATCTACAATAAGTTTGCGAAGTTGCCAAGGGACCCATAATTAGCTAAGTTGGTTTTTGAACTACTAGAACTAGGGTTTATGGATCTATATATATATAATATGCATGTGTATATATATATATATATATGTGTGTGTGTGTGATATGTATGTGCGTGTAATTCTATATTACTACACTATAGTTAATGGTGGTCATAAACCAACATCAACCAACTTATAACTGGGGGGCCACATTGTACTCATTCGTAGCCGGGTAGCCCTGCCCCAGGCGATGCACTGAGCGGCCGCTATCGACAACTCTGCATCTGGAGCGCCCGGCAATGCCATCGACTCTGGGACCGCGCGTGAAGAAAAGCCGCGTGCAGACTCCGTTTAGAGACTAACATCTATCGAAGTTTTGGAGGTGTGTGCACTTATTCAATGTGAATTTGACCCTAAAAAATTGAGGTAATTGCACTCAAACCATATAAAGCCATAGAAAGTGAAGGCAAATCCCTTGAATTTTGACTCTGACATAGGCCTTATAAAGGATAAAGGGTACCATAAATCGGTACCTGAAATGGCCATTGATTGACACAATGTCTTGGCATCCCTGCAGGCATCTACAGTAATCAGCATTTTTGGGACTGGCCACTAAAAACCATGGAAGACTGAGCCTCAAAACTTGACATCGGAAACAGCACGGGAGAACTTCTGAGAACTTTATAGAACTGCTGTCCCTCTGATGCGCTTGATGTTGGATGCAGCGAATTTCCAAGCACCTAAGCCTGGCTTGTGAGGGCGGTGCTGTCTATCGCCTGCTGTTGCAAGGCGTGTCACAGCAGGAGTTAGAGATTCAACAGGATCTGTTGACAGCAGCCTATGGTGCTGAAGTTCGACTCTCTCGACTCCACCCAGCTGCCCCATCTCGGCTCCTGCAAACTGTGCAGCGTCACCAAGCAAAGCTGGGAGCGGTGAATGCATCTACCGCACTGCATTTGTGGCTGGAAGCGGTTGTTTTTTACTTACCCTTTTGTAATTCGACGTAGCGTTTTGGAACATGATAAAATGATCGCATATGACCACTAAGTAAATAATCTACAATCTATAAATGAGCCATGGTTTCCAAAGCTATGTTGCATTACTAGAGGGTATACTACCAATAAACTAACATGGGTGTGGAAAACCTACCATTTGTAGATCAGTTTCCATTGGGTTTCCCCATACCCTAGGCTAACTCGCATAGAATCCCTTCAAATTCCCAAAGATCACATTAAACCCAACAAAAATCCCATGAATCCCATGGAAATTGCTGCTTTCCCCAGGGTTAACCTGCCACCTTTGTGCCCAGGTTAGCCCAAGCCGTTCCCAGCGCATCCCCGGCATCCCCCGTGTCCGCCAGCGTTGCTGGGGCGCTGCTGTCTGCAGCGTCACAACCTACGGCTGAGCCCAGGGACCTCGCAGTGGCCAGTTGGGCATCTGCCAAGCTGCAGCTGATGCTGGGCTGAAGAAAATCAGCTCATTTTTTCATACGTAGATCTAGGTAGATCATAATGAATCAATGGTAAATCATAGGCAAAATCATATGGTAAATCATCATTTTTGATCGTAGGAGCTACCCTCTGGTAAACGTTTACAGTTTGCGAACTGGAAAATCACAATGTCTATATAATAGGTAAATCAACGATCGAAATGGTCATTTGCAATAGTTATGTTAAATTACCAAAGGGTAGATCTATAGGTAAATCATCAGTTTTTATCATCATTTTTCATCACCCATAAATGGGTGGTAATTTGTACCATATGCGAAAATTCCCATTGTTTGGCCTATCGGACAACCGGTGGCTCATCTACCTAGTTGGATCTACTAGGTGAATCATCATTTTTGTCATCGAACTAAATGGCTCATGGCTTCCATAGCTATTATAATTTACCACAGGCTACCAGCAAAAGTGGGGAAACATGCTGAAAATTATCGGTGTCCCGGTGATTCCTTGGTAATTTTGAAGATGTTGTTGAGCCAAGTGTTTGGATGATTTGCTGGAAATCTGGAGCAATTGACCTAGTAGAAAGCATTTTTGGTTGGCTGAGTACGGTGAAATTTCGCAACTTAAAACATCGCTACTATGACTTGTGAGAAATGAGTGGGAAACTGTCCCTTAAATTGGTGGTTCGTGGTGTTGTGTTGGTCACATGGGGTCGATCAGGGACATATGGAGATGATTGGATGATCAAATTACGTTGGATTCTGCGGCAGTTGTTGAATGAATCGGTGATGCACTCCCGGATTTGACCCTCCAACAATGTGGGGATTTAATTCTGGTTGGTGGTTTGGAACATGTTCTCCATATATGGGGAATAATAATCCCAACTGACTATATGATATTTTTCAGACGGGTTGAAGACACCAACCAAAATTGGTTTTATAATTTTTATCACTTAAAGTTCCGGTGATTTTTCGGAACCGTTGGGGCTTTGACATCCTTTGAGCAACTCAGCCATTTGGCGGCTGAAAGTCACATGATTTCAGCCCCCTTAGGGATTTGAGCATCAAAGAGTGGGGATTGACCAGCATACCCTCTGGTAAACTAACAGTTTTCTATTGAAAATGGCCATTTATAATGGATTTACCCATTAAAAATGGTGATTTTCCATAGCAAACTGTTAGTTTACCAGAGGGTAGTTGAGAAGGTAAGGTGCCGTGTGATGGCAAGGTTCACGGCCCCATTCTTGCTGCTTATACAGTTTGAATGAAAGAATAGGTGTATGCCCGGCTGCCCGCCCATCCAATCCCTCTGAAAATGATGTCGTGACGCTACGATTGGCCGAGCTGGAGAAACTCTCGGCCAAACCTTTGGCCCCTTTGAAACCAACCAGTTCAAAGCGGTTTTCGTGGGACAATTGCCACGGGAATGATAGGCAAATCATCTACAAATAAATGGGTGATGATCCATGGCCACGTTGAATTACCAGAGAGTTCATATTTCGATCTCATTTTTAGATGCTCACTTGACCCAGATTTGGATCACTGTTTCTACTCATCCCAAATGATCCGTTGTTTTGACCCCCGCCATGTCCCCTGTCCTGGGCGAGGAGCAACTGCGATGCGCTACAAGCACTACAAGATGCCATCCAAGCTGCAGCTGAACGTCTGGATGGTCAGGACGTGGCCAATGTACCGCTGGCGTGAAATTCAGCATGCTTTGGGATGCCTTTTTGGTAGCGATTCGGGGACGATTTTTGAATAGGTAAATGATCTACAAATGGGGCTTGGTTTCTCATGGTTTCTCAGGATCTGTGAAGATCAACTGGGCGGTAGACCATTAACTACCAAGCCGCTAGGCGAAACATAAAGAGGTGTCCATTATATGAATGGGACCCCCAAATCATCCAATTTTCATAGGATTTTCCATTACAGAGATTTATAAACCAGCCAGCTATTGGGGTACCCCCATGGAAAGCTCACATGGTCCAGAGGTTTCAAGCCAAGGCCACAGCCAGATTGGAGACGACCATGATCGTTATGTTCATGCCATGTCCAACCACAGTTCACACCATTCTGGATATTTCGCCATGATCTGTGTCCACCCCAATTCCAATGGTTCACATAATGTTTCAGGGCTGCTCCAACCTCGTATATAGGTGATAGCCACAATCCCAATTGGTGAGTTTACCTCTTTCTGAGACCTTGAGGTATGCTGGGCCTTTGCCAGCATGGATTCCTCAGTCGCCTCCCAACCCCATTTTTTTGCAACACTGGCAGATGCCGCGGTGCCCAAAATTCGTGACCACTTTAGCGCTAGACATGTGGCGATCACGTGCTGGGCACTGGCCAAGGTGGGAAAATCATGGTTTATGCCAACCAAGATTAGCCAATATGCCACGTAAATAATAATACATGTGTAGATATATCTACATATATATATATATATTATTATTATTATTATTTTTATTATTATTATTTTTATTATTATTATTACTATTATTATTATTATTGTAATTATACGTGTGTATATCTGTACATATATAATATATATTTATTACATATATACCCACCACATCATGATGTCCCGGTTTGTTGGGGGAAGGGGTTGCGAATTTTAGCAGGCCCCCCGAATACATCAGGGCCCATCAGGGTTGACATTTCAAGGTTTAACCATCCAAGTTGAGTTGATTTCAAACGCATGATCTGGGAATCTAGGCAATGGCGTGCAACGGGCCGGGGGCAGTGGGTGGAAACCAGCAAAACGAGTGTTGAGCAGGCGTAGCCTAGGGTAAGCATGGGTAAACTAAGATAGCTATCTATCAATCTATATATATATATATGGCATCACATGTTTTTTGGGAGTAAATCAACGAACTAAGTGATCATCATAGCATATTGTTAAATTAGCAGAAATTAAATCCCAAACACCAACAGTTTCGAGATTATGTCGGGAGCACGTTTGCTTGGCAGCCGTTCGCTGCAGGTTTCAGTCATGTGCTCCAGCCGTATGTTCTGGTGGGACTTGGTATCCCCAGAAAAATCGGTGAAATGAGCCACAGATGGACATCTTTAAAACGTGAAGATCATCCCAATGGCCCGCCTTGCGGTTGCCACCAGGGAGAAGAAATTCGATGTTTACCTCTTTAGCCAAAGAAAAAACACCCTTGTCTTTGGATGCGCCCTCCGGTAATCGAACGTGGGAATGGAAAATCTAAATTTTACAAATGATTCTCCCATTCAATTCTATATAAAAAGGGTTTTACAGCCAGCACGTTTGGCCGGAAGATCTCAGGGGTGGGAGCGACCCTGGCAGGTCAGGCTGCCGCACGATGACTTCATTTTAGCGGCAGCAGGGGCGATGCAAGGGTCCAAGGTGGCGGTGATAAGGAAAAACCATGACACCATTGTAGATTTATGTTGATTTATCATGATTCTCCGTCTTAAGAGGCAAGATTCCCACAACTGAGGGTATAAGTTAGCATGTTTTTGGATGGATGACGGCGAAGGTTGGGCAAAGATGTGGTCTGAAAATGGTCGCAAATCATGTACTCGCCGCATTCTTTGCGGAAAATGGTAAGGAAAGAACCAAACAAACGCTTCTTCCGCTAGCGAATATGTACAGGAAGCCACGATTGTTTATCATCAAATTAGGATCTTCCCACAACAAGAACTCCCTCAAATATCTTAAATCCAACACTAGATAGAACTGCTCGTAGCGCCTTATTCAACGCTATAAATTACAATTAAATACAACCAATGAATTATATATATATATATATATATTCCAGGATGTACAAACGGGTCTCAATTAGGCACCCCTTAAGGGGGGTAACCATTAGGCACCCCTTAATTTTTAAGGTTCCAAACTAACAAATAATGAGGTATTCATAGTAATATGTGCATTTTTCTTCGATTTCCCCACGTTTGTTTCCAGAAATGCGTGTCATTTCGTGTCATTGTCGTGTCGTGTCGGTCATAAGTGGTCACGAGTTTTTTTGGGAGAAATCAAGAAAAACATGCGTGTCATTGCGTGTCACTGCCGTGTCGTGTCGATCGGTAGGGGGTGTCCAATAAGCACCCCTTAGGCAAACGGGTGTCTAATAAGCACCCCTTAGAAACGTGTCGGGTGCATTTTGAACAACCCCTGCGCGTGTCATTTCGTGTCGATTTTGACTAGTTTTCTTGAAAATTGGGAACATTTTACATCCGACGCGAAAAGAAACGCATGCATTTCTTCTCGCCAAACATGAAGTCGGGTGCACCACAGATGCCACGCGGGTGGGATTGGAAGATTTTGGGTTGGAACTCATCATTTTCTGGTGTGCCATCTCCATGAACGCTAAGGGGTGCCCATTAGGCACCCCTTAAGAATCTCAATTTTTGAAATTCATTAGGCACCCCTTTGAACGTGCTGGTTATATATTATTTATATTAATAATTATATATATATATGTGTGTGTGTGTCTGTATGTATGAGTCAATTTACATCTTCTACAATGTATGGCAACATCTTCCCCAGCTGCTTCCTCCAGGCGGATGGCTGGATGCCCCAAGATCTCTCCAACTTCCTCTGGTCCAGCGCGGCGCTGCGGTGCGACCTGCCGCTACCTCTGGAGCTCATCGCCCAGCGTGCGGCGCAGCTCACGTGGCAACAGTTTAAGCCGCAGGATGCCCAGGGATTCCATAGGGGACACAGCTATAGCAACGGGGACCCATAGCCTCTGGTAATTTGTTACGGAGCTATTGAAAATCTCGCCCATTTAGTTCGTTGATTTTGCTGTTAACATGGTGGTTTTCCAGACTTATGTTAGTTTACCATAGGGGTATGACCAACAATAGGAGAATAGGACCATCATGAGTCACTTCATGATTAGTTGGTTGATCCAAAATAGATGTAACAGGATTTCGGAAAGTTGGAAACCTGGAGACGAAACTGGCGGAAATATTGCCGAACTATTATCCTGGAAAGATGTTTTTCGGCATCTGGTTTTGGGGGTCGATCATCGTAATTCCAGGACATTGTTGCCCCGCAAGTTTGAATTAAGATAATTCAGGGGTGTCATTTTGGATGCAGGGAATAATTCTCGAATAGGAACTCACTTGTTCAGGAGCAAACCGCTGCCGGGATTTATTGATCCCCAAAGGTCAAGCATGGCATTCCCACAGATCACCGATGTGCATCGCAGGGTCTCAAGGTTTGACCAGTCAGACGGCAAAAATCGAACGGTTTCCAGGATGTGATGAAAATAAATGGATATGATAAAACTCAATAAGCTTCAGAAATTTATTTCGGATTTTTAAGGCATGCTATTCGCAGTTTCAACCCATTTTTCCCCCAATTTTCGGTGACCAACTTAACTTGGTGACTTGGTAATTTGGATATCGATATCTGGTGCATGACTGACTAGCTATAGTGATCTCGTCTTTTCGCGCCTCCCTATGAGTAGGAACCAATCCATCTACTCAAGGGAATACTGCCATTTATATCCATTTATATATCCATTTATATCCATTTATATCAGTTATATAATTTATAGTCATTTATCAAGATGATTTCCTCATTGCTTAGAAAATGGGAGATTTCCCCAAGTGATCGCCATTGGAACAATGAGTGCTTCAATCAGCAACGTTGGCTTCCCAGAATTTTCCGGTGCCAGAGCTGTTGTTTTTTGGATCGCGGTGGTGCTCCAAGAACTGCACAGAGAGAGAGAGAGAGAGAGAGCGATGTTTGTTGCTTTACCGCCATTAACTCGTTGGATAATGTTGGGTATATTACACCATGGTTCACCTAGTTCTAAACCAATTTGATAGGGGGCATTATATCTGGTGATATCGCCACCTCGTGTGCTGTTCAAACCCCCATCTTATGATTGTCAAACCACCATTTTCACGGTTGAACTGCATTTGTTCTTCTTAAAATCCTGATGTTTGATGGTTAACAACCTGGAGCCACGGGGTAGGAGCTCTCCATCTGCATGTGGGCTGCCTACACCCTGGGCGTGGTGGACGGCCGTGGGGCTTCCATTCGAGCCGTCAAGCGGATGTTGCAACATGCTGCGCGAGAGATCCGCGTGAGGGGAGCGGAGGCGACCTTGGAGCAAGGGGACCCATACCCTCTGGTAATTGAACATAGCTATTGAAAATTGCCATTTGTAGTTCAAATACCTATGAAACATGGTGGTTTTCCCTGGCCATGTTAGTTTACTGGAGGGTATGGGATGAGAAATAAGGCCATAGGGGTTTATACATGTCCAGTGGTTAGAGAGCAGTGAAGGGAGCTAGGGGTATCCATACTCGCTCAATGCGGAGCCAAGGGGCTACTAAGACACATGTACTGTATGTATGCATACATATACATATATATATATATATATGTGTGTGTGCGTGTAATATGTGTATATATATATAACTATATATATTTTTTTAATTATACATTATATATTTAATTATATATATAATATTATATATATGTGTGTGTGTGTCTGTGTGTGTGTGGGTTTGTCTGAAAAAAATAGTTGAACAGCCCAAAATCTATTGGATTGTCATCATGTCTGAAAATCGCCATTTGCGGATATACCCCTCAGACACACCCATATCTAAATATGTATGTATGTAAACATTTTGAGAGAGAGAGAGAGAGTAAATTACAGCCATCAAGAATGGTGAGAAATATCTTGGGATGATTGCTGACTTCTCACATGTTTTAACCATAGAAATGGGATGATGATCCACAATGATTATTTTTCATGTTGTTCAGATGGGTTGAAACCACCAATTGGATTTTCCACAAATAATATAAACACATTCGTGGTTTAAGCTATAGGATTTTGCACCAGTACTGGAAATTTTCCTGTGTGCAAATAGTTGGGGGTCCAATAGATAGATACCCCACTTTTTTTGGCAACGGGCATCGATGGGGGACATGGGGATGTGAACCACTTTTGTGGGGGTACCTCATTGGTACCAAAGCCACATAAACCGTTGTAGTTGAAAATGGAATGCCATAGATATCTATAGATCATTTTGCTTCAGGCAACATCGCATGAGTTGGCTAAGATCCTTGATGTGCTAACTTGGGACCCCAATATGTTCATAGCCGGGGAGACCTTACAGAGCTTCATATGATGGTCATCTTTGGGAAAAAAAAACGAAAACGGCATGGATGCTACAGGGAAAACGCTAGACATCGGAATGAAAGATCGGGAGTTCTTGCTGCCAGACTGGTTGGAGGGAAAACTGTGCAGGAAACAATATGTTTGTTCTTTCTTTCACTGTTGTCAAACGTCAGAGTTTACATAGCACTGTTTTTTAAAACAAACCCAGTAGCATTTAGTAACCATCTTTTCTTTGGTATAGTTCCCGCTGTTCTAGTTTAAATTAGAGTAAACCTGTCGGTGTCAGGGTAGCCTTTTTTCTGGCATAAATAATGGTTGTAAAATAGCGAGACGTGCCCCCAAAAAATGCAAACTATTGCAAACTTCTGCCTGAGTTTGGCCGGCTTGAGGTTGAAGCAGCAAATGTGGTGTGATTTTACAAAGAGTATGGAGCAAAACCACGCAAGTGATTCACACCCTGCTGCCGTTCTTGTTTGTGTTGGTTCATATCCCTATTTGTTGGTTAATATACATATATATATATATACATATATATATATGTGGTTTGTATCGCCATTTGTTGATTCATATCCATTAAATCATATTAAATCTCCCTAAACCCTAGCAGCCCCATTTCTTAAGCTTGATATAATTCGCAGGCCCATTTGCTGGCCCACGTGCCCACGTATTTGTTGATATGTAGTTCGGGCATTGCCCACATCTATTGCCGGGCATGAAAAATTCACATTTTTTGGCAATTATTTTCACTATTGGTGATGAAATCCATTGAAATCCAATTTGCTAAAATCATTTAAAATCGCCGAAATGTTCAAAAAACCATAAAACCCACATATCTTGAGAATTGGATGATGGTTGTTGTTTCGGGAAAACCTTTAAAACAAAGTTGCAAAAAGCAATGGTTTCCTGTAAGCCAATCCATAGAGTGCTGCGGGCTGGTTCACCCCCCTGCCGCAGTTAGGATTTTGAAGCCCGACACCTGTTGAACTCGGCTTGGGCTTTGGCACGCTGGCAGCGGCATTGCCGACTGGTGGGGTGGCAACAGGAGCAGTGGAAATGGTGCCTGAAAATGGGGCTGTTTACCACAAAGATGATCATTTTGACATAGAAAACTGACGTTTTTCAACCATGAATTTGTGAATAGTCATAGCATGTCATAGCCTATTTTCAGACAAACCCAAATGATGAGAATGATGGTCGAAGATGGAGTTTGTTGGAGGGACAACCTGCAGGAAAAGATGAATTTGATGACAAACATGGGGAGTTCCTGCATGTTTTCCTTGGACAAATTCTGAATGGGGGAACATCGAAGCTGCAGCAATGTTATTACCCATAAATTGAACATCGAATCATCGAACGGGGAGTGGGCACAATTCAGTATATTCACCTTCAAGAAATGGTAAGATTAAGCAGGGTTTTCAACAAGAATGCTGAGTTGACCGCTGACAGTTTTTGAAACTCCAATAACTAAGGTCTATGGATGTCTATGGTAGAGATATCAGTTATTAATGGGGATTCTAAACTTTCTAAACCAACAAACAGAACTGAGGGACTGAGGGGTACTGCAGGAGTGCAAGGACTATGTTTGCAGACCCGCCCTGCGGATTCTGGCCGAAGCTGCCAAGAACGGCGGCTTCCAACGGTTCCGCCCGCACGAACTCTCACGCTTGATCTGGGCAGTCGCCAGTCAATCCTGTTGGGGCAGCCCAGGGATGCTCCAACAGGAGGTGGGTAGTGCCCAAACCCCGACTGCCAAACAGGATGGGCAGTCGTAGTGAAAGACTATGAAAGTCTAATGGCCAATGAAGATATCAAGTAATGTGGTAAGGCCAACAATAAATGGGTAAACCATCGCCAATCGACGTTTCTTATTTGGTTTGCCACACAGTTTCCCGCCACCAAAGTTCGCTCGAGGCCTGAAATTGCGACCAATGGGTCCTCCCTTGCTGGACTATGTGAGGTCTGGCCGGCTCTGAGCAGTTGAGGCATCATGGATATGATATCCGGAAACGTACCTGTTCATGATCAGTTCATATCTTTTTGAAGAAAAAGTCTATGGAGTAGCTACCCAAATAGACTCAACATGGAACATCAACTGCCGTAACGTACTTTTTTTGACGACAGAGAATGTTTTGTTTTCCATTTCATGGAGCCGAAACAGCAAGGTGAGATGACCATACCAACTGTTCCCATTTTCGATTCGGCTTGCGACATGGCATGGACCCCTGAAACCATTGGTTCATCACCATTTTCCTACGTTTCTCCTTCTGAAAATTGTCATTCATTAAAATCTTAGGCATTTTCCTACCATTTTCAAACACACCCAAGATCATATTATGGTTGATAAGTACATCCCATTCATCTCCCATGATATCTCCATCAATCCCATGGGGAAATCCCATGGGAAATCCGATCGCTGGAGGTCTCCCGAGAAGTTGGTGGCTTTTGATCCTGACGCTTTGGTGAGTTTGGTTCGCGGCCCCAGATCGGCTGGAGCTTCTGCACCACGGTTTATGAATTGTGGGGGTACCCTCCAAATAGTCACAATATGTCACAATATGATACATAAATGGTACCCCCCCAATTAAACAGCCTAGGTTTTTTATCTATGATCTAGGGTTGACATTATTAATATATATGAAATATTGATGGGATAATAATGGAATAGTAGGATAATAATGGAATATTAGTGGGACAATAATGATATTAACGGGATAGTAATGGGATATTAATTGAATAAAACCGGTATATTGATGAGATAATAATGGGATACCAACGGGATAATAATGGACTATTTACAGTATGATAACACATGGCATATTTATGGGATGACAATAAATGGGACAATAATGGGATAATTGATCATGCGGGAATATAACGATTAATATGGTGATAACAATGGATAATGATTGTATTAATGGTGTTAATTGATGTACCCTCCATGTCAGCAACCATGGCTAGAAGATGTCCCATTGATCGATGATTTTCCCATCTATAAACCTCCAATTATTCCCATTGCCACGTTTGATTGCCAGAGGGTAGGTAAATTTCCTGATTTTGGTCAAACATGATGGAACCATGATGATTAATTTTGTAAACAAAGAGATTCGGAGACTGGAACCAGGAGAAACTGCATCACCCACACAATTTGACACTAATTGTAGAAACGGGACTACACCTAGTTGGTTAGTTTGTTAGTCAGTCAGCTTTTCTAACTCAACCAAAAGAGATAGAACCCAACATAAGGTGAAAGACATGTTTCTAAGTCAACTTCAGTTCAACTTCAGCATCTTCACCCAAAAAAATAGTCTGACAGTGACGATTTCCACCTTAGGTCACCTCATTAGCGTGGATCTTGGAACGCTTGGTGTGGGAACTTCCAGGAAGACGAACGCATTCGCGGATCGTTCCAGAGAGTTCCTCCAGAGACTTTTTGCGTGGCAAAAAATGATGAGAGCGGGAGTTTTAGATCAAACTGAGGGAAGTTTGCTGCGAAAAACTTTACTTATTGTGTTTTGGATGATTTTGGGTGATTTTGGATGTAGAAGTTACTGATTTACTGCAATTGAGGTGGAAGATTCATATTTTGGATTATGACGCAGGCTTCCCCATCTTGGGCGCCAGCTAGTGGAATCTGCAGCCAGAGGCCCCAGGGAAGTTCCAGCCATGGACCCTGCAGCTTTCGTGGGCAGCAGTGGCTCGGCGCTGTGGGATTTTTGAGGACCGGCCATTCACCATGGAACAACGTTAGTTCCTATCCAACATTCCAAGTGGCTCTACCAAATCTGGGCATGGAAAAATTCAGTACCAAGCGCCGTTGACTGCACTCATTTCCATATTTTCTATCAGTGAGATTGTTTCTTGATAGTTACCCTCTGGTAAACTAACATAGCTACGGAAAATCACCGTCTTCAATGGGTAAATCAACATCAATCAACTATAAATGTGCCATTTTCAATAGCTATGTCAATGTTCTGAGGTTGACATTTGTTGAAGTCGCGAGCCCTCCAAGGCGCAGGAGTGCTAGCAAGCAAGCCAGCTGGGCTGGCCGGACAGCAAGCCGGCCAGCCAGGGCAAGCGCCACAACAGCTCCAGAAGCTGAGTTGAAATCGATGGAAAATGGTGGTTTCATACTGGTTGGTGGTTTCAAACATTTTTTATTTTCCACAATATATGGGATAATCCTTCCCAATGACTAATTTTTTCCAGATGGTTGAAACCACCAACCAGATATATAATAACATGGCGTACCCAGAGTTCCATTGAAGAAAAACCATGAGGAACGGCTCAAAAAGAGCCGCGGAAAAGTGTCCCCGCCAAAAATGACATAGAGATACCCAGAATGCCATTTGCAATTATAGTTTGTAAGTACCCTCTGGTAATTTAACATAGCTATGGAAAATCACAATTTTCAATAGGAAAATCCACTATAAATGGCCATTTTCAATAGCTATGTTAAATTACCAGAGGGTATGTTTTTCAAGGAAAGGTGCGGGAGAAATAGCTTATATCATATGGGATTTATCCCGGACTTGGATGAAGGGAAATTTCTCCCGCAACCAACCCGATGAAGAGCGTGCACTTTCCAAACCTCGACTTCAACCTTGATGATGGTTGGTGAATGGATAACAAAGCATGGAGCATACAAGATGAAATGAAGATTATGTATATTATACGAGCAGAAATGATGATTAAAGATGGGAATCAACAAAAGTGACGGGTTTCAAACGATGGTTAGGTTCCTAACAGCCAACCTCACGATCAGAGTTACTATTGGGAAAGCATGACAACTAAATATTCTTCAATATCCCTAAGTCACATGTGGTTTTCTATATACGTCATTTAGACATGCGTTTAGTAAATCCAAGCAAGTGCTTTGACCTGCACCCTACTTCCGGCCCAGTGGGAATCAGAAACCATTTTGCTACATGAACGCATGGGTCTGTCTGAAAATATGGACAGGCAATGACACAGAAATCCACCCGCTACTCATCATTTTCCCTGTACAAAACAAGGCAAACATTTTTTGTGTCTATCAGATACTATCACAACATGTTCCCATGTGATACTGTTCGAACTGGGCTCGGCTTGGAGTTTGTGGTTTGTTATGTTGCCTGAGAGTGGCTAACTAAGTGATGTAGCGTACAACGGTATCTGGGCCAGTCGCAAGCTCCAATTCGTAAGACTGGTATTGAATAAGTACCCCAAATGCCCTCCTGATGAAGGCCGCATGGAGCCCAAATTTTGGTCTGGAAGATTGATTTCCTTTTGGACATGGTTTTCATGTTGAGGTTACTAAATCTCAGAGGATCATCTCGGTTGAGAGTCCTTTGACGGTGATCATCATATGGAATCATATGGTCTTGTCCAAAAAAGTGGTGTTGCCCCTAACTTACCAATTTAACGTTGGATTTTTCGTTTGAATTGCCACAGCTTGGGGCTATACCCCATTCTTGGACAAAGCCCACAAGTACTTATCCATTATTATGGCCTAGTTCCCCACTTGGATGGGGTAGTTTTCAATCTTGTGCCAGAAATGGGGAATATCTACTAACCAGCTTAGTCTATATTGTAGAATCAAAATATAGAGATATATTTAATGTAGGATATAGTTATATATATATAATCATTTGCATAATTTCATTATATATTTTAGCGATCCTGGAGTAGATAGAACATGTAATTGCTAGACATATTCCCATGTTGGTGACGTTTTGTTTGGAAATCTACCCCTTGACGGCATACAACGGCCCCATACACACTTGCAGGGTAACCAAAAGTGTATAGATTCACAATACCCTACATTGTGCTGATATGGCGTCAAAGTTAGAGTATATCTGCAAGGTCGTGCCCCCTAGTTGTAAGTCGGTTTATTCACCCACTACGTGTACTTATAGCTTTTAATCACCATCACCAAAACGCGTAGTTAACCTACTTCTAAACTAACTTCGCTAGCTATGAGCACCTCCTTGATACACTCCCATTGAGTTTGCACCTTGTTTCCAACTACAGTAGGGCAGGCTGCGTTCATTTCACCCTGCTCTAGATCAGATGAGAATTATATTTCATGATATTTCATGTTATAGTTTGGTGTGCACAGACCGTATGTTAAGTATCATATCTCGATACAAATTATTTCAAGGATCTCATACATTGAGATTATCTTGATATCATGTATCACGTGCATTTTTATATTGAATGTATTTTCAGATATTTCATATGTAGATAGTACCCTCTTGTAATCTAACATAGCTATGGACAATCATCATGTTTAATAGGTAAATCAGCTTTAAATGGTCCATGTTCATCCATTTTCCATATATTATGTTAGTTTACCAGAGGGCATATAAACATTAATCATCATTAATCACCATTCTTGACCATTGTCAACCATGATTCACTATTAAATGGAGGTCCTTGTGGCTTTTCACCCATGGTATTTATTATTATAAACTGGGCAGCCAGTTGAGCTGAGACACTCGAAGTTCACAGCGAAGCAAGGCAGTGCAAACGAGGCACTTTTCCAAGGTGCGTAGCCTATGGGGCGTTAGAAGTCCCTCCCTTTCTTGAGAGGCAAAATACGGTCAGAAGACCAAAATGAAATGAGGTCATCAGACCTGGATAAAATGAGGTCGTCGGACCTGACAGGAAACAGGAAAAACATGATCCCAAGTGCAATGCATGGAGTGCAATTGACACAGGGGAAAGCTATGTCCGGCTCTCAGTGGATGATCGAATCCACATAGTTCACCCTTCCATGGTCTTGCCAGAAACGTTCGATCTCTTCTTTCAAAGTAGTGCCAAAAGTCTGGTCAGGGATCCAAGGTGGAAGGCAACGGCTCAAACAAAAAGTGCAGGCTTCACGCGTTTCAACGCGGTTGGCATTCTGTAGGCCCGCGCAATTTGTGTCAGCATGCCAGCATCTACCAGTCGTGGCAAAGTGTAGGTGGAACTGGTTCAAGTTCCAAGTTTCTGTCATGGCACGATCAAGGATGCCGCTGGCTCGTCGTATGGTGTTTCGATCATCTTGTCGTTCTTGTTCTCTCAACTCTTGGTTGTTGTCAATGACCAACTCACGGTCAATCAAGGTGCTTCTCAATCGCCGGTTCTCTGTATTCAACTGGCGGTTGGTAAGCTCCATGTTGGTTTGGCCTCGAAGCAGTTGGGCGTTGGCATCTCTAAGAGATCTCACTTCCTCCTTCAACTGTTTGGAGACCACGTAGTGAAACAAAAGACCCAGAAGAAAGGCCAGAAAAACTATCAGCATTGAAACCCAAATTGATTGTGCTGTCGCAGTCAGTGGCGCATCATCGGCACTGCATTGGTCTTGGACCTCCAGTTTAACGGATTCAGCAGTGCAAAACGCAGTGGCCATGAAGACATACTTCAGCATAGCACCAGCGCCGCCATGGCTCAAGGAGTAGGCCTCTACAGGGACCTGGTTATTCGGTAAAACAAAGGGCTCGCCATGGGCTGCATTGGTTTCAATGTCATAGATCTCTTCCATGAAGCGCACATCTTCCGGGGTCTGGACATTCAGTGTCACGTCGACATCTGCAGAGAGCTGGGCATTCTCAAAAGTTAGGTTGGGATCAGTCACATAGGGCTCCACAGTCATGTTCACATCATCATTGGTAGCTGGAGCCTCATCATCATGTGCATCTTCCTGCTCGGTTGTATGTGGTTTGTGGTGGTTGTGTGTGGTTTTTGTGGTTGTTGTGGTGAATTCATTCCTGCTTTTCTCACGTTCTGCAGCTGTCTTTTTCTTGCTAGCTTGGTACTCAGGGTCCCAAGTGAACTTGATGGAACCATGTCGCAAACGGTCGGCCAGTAATTGCCGGGCAGCCATTTTTGTGAATCCATCGCCAAACTGGCGTTCTGAAGAAATCCATTTCAAAACTCCACCAACTCCTTCGACTTGTTCTCGGATGACACGAAGTTCCAAATTGGTTCTTTTGTCTGTAGCCCCATGGTTTATTGCGTCTCTGTGGTAGCTATCATACAGGGCTTTGGCATCCGTGATGAAGGTGGGGCTCAAGGTTGGTTTCGATACATCCAAGGTCTGTCGAAGAGTCGCATTTGGATTCAAAACCATGTGCCAAAAACGAATCACAAATTCTGTGCTGTCGATGGCCTGTGCAGCTGATTGAACTTCTGCAGAGAGGCTTGAGCGGCACACCCGTGGCAGTCTAAAACATCGCCAGTCCAGCACGTGGTAAGGCACTTCAGCGCCTTCAAAAGCCGATTTGTGGGTCAACATTATGATGTACCCACCCTGACTCGATCCGTCGTGTCGAACTCCAAGGGCAGCATCAAACATGCATGTCAAACGAAGTTCAGGAAGTGGACCCAACGGAGGAAACTTCAGGTGGACATCACTGTTGGCCTTACAAAAACGAAGAAGCTTGTTGGCCTCGATCAAGGCTGAAGAAAGTCCAGTGCTCATCTCACCACTCAGCAAGGAGGTGCTCGCCTGTATATGTGGTGACGATTGTACCGCAGGCCACTGCAAACTTCCAAGAAGACCACGAAGAGCAGTTTGCTCTTTCTCGCTGAAAGGTTGGTGGCTCTGACGTCCCTTCTCAAAGTTCAAAGGCATGATCTTTTTCAGGTATTGGTCATGGCTCACATGCCAGGTGCCATCATCATCACGTGTCATATGGGCACCGCAGTATTCGAAGGGCTCATCCTTCTGCCAAGTTCTGAAGTTGAAAGACTGCTTGAGCTCTGCTTCGGCCTTCTGGTAAGTCTCAGAGTTGGGGTTTCCACATCCCAGCATATCATCAACATGGAGCACCAGGAGGCCACATAAAACGGGTTCAGAGCCTTCAACTGCTGGTTCATAGAGTCGCCAAAAGCAAGGGTCCATGGGATGTGCAATCCATCCACCATTGCGAAGTCGCCTGGTGGCTTCAAGAAACCAGCGCTTGGGTGCATCAAGTTGGCCATAGACCGGTTTGTGTAGGTACATCCGGGTGTTTTCGTCACCCCCAAGTATCCGGTTGGCATCAGCTGGTAAACGAACCCAAAGTTGGCGTTCTTGTGGTAGGCCTTGAAGAAAGGCTGTTGAAACATCAGCGCTCCAACCGCACCAGCCACAGCATGCAGAGATGCTGAGGAGCACAGATCTTCCAAGGCGAGTGCTCGCAGGTGATGCAGTGTCCAGCTTGCCCTCAAGAGCATCGGCATCAGTGTAACCTCTGACAACCAATCGGGCTTTGGCACGAGGTGTACCATCTGCATTCTTTGACCATTTAAGGAGCATTCTGCTGGACATAGTGCGGCTTGGAATCGCTTCTTTGGTGGTTTGAAAAGACCACACTCCATTGTCGAAAAACGACTTGAGTTCTTTGACTTTGGCCTGGTGGAACAGCAAACGGTCTTCCAAAGTCAGCTTTTTCTCGCTGATCTCATTCTTCGGCTGAGCTTTGCGAACTTGTCGTTGAGCATGAACTTTGGCCTTCTTGCCAACTTGCTTGGCAGTCATGGCTGAGTAAGCGTGGCATCCAAGTTCATGTCGAGTCTTGCCGTTGAGTTGGAAGACTGTGCATCCAGTCCAAGGCTTGTTGGACAGCTTGCCATGCCCATCTGAAATCTTGTCGGAGTAGTGGTTGATGCCATCGTCCGACTTGCATACCGTGACTCTCACAGGATCTAGGCAATCCAAAGGCACCGGCAAGTGTTGCAAGTCGCGGGCAGAAAGAGATCGAGGATCAAAAAGAGCTCGTCGTGGAATGGCATGATGTCGAATGAGACATCCAGCTCGAAGTTCCCAGTGGTCACGGGTCTTGTCATCCAAAGTGATGTAGCCATTCTCGAGCTTCCATCCAGGTGGTAAGGCATTGATCTCCATGTCTTCAATCTCAAAGGCAAAAGGGCTGTCTTCCAAGTTGTTGGCAGACTCATTGGATGGTGGTTCAGCATATGGTGTGGAACCATGCTCACCTGTTGGTTGTTGCTGTTCACGTCGTCGACGAAATGGTCCAAAAGACATTGTTTCTTGTTGCGCAAGGCGACGTCGATGACTTCTAAAGTCTTCATCTGTTGCAGGTTGATAGAGTGATGCAGTGATTGGATCAAGTTGTGGAACTTGTGCAGGTGGTGGCAAGGAAGGTTGATGTGTTTCTGGTAGAGTTGATTGTGATGTTGTAGGTTGTGGAGTTGGAATCTGACTCTGCTGGATTGAAGAAGTTGTCAGTAGAGAAGGTGGTTGGTGTAGTAGATCTTGTTCAATCGCTGGTCTGGGCAAATTGCTCGGTGTCATAGGGCGTTGGTTGGAAATCTCAGTGTCCATGTGTGTGGGACTTGGTTCTTGAGAAGGTTCCCCACTGCTGATCGGAATGTCTGCTGACAGCTCAGGGATTGGAACTTGGAGAGCAGTTCCATCGGCATCAACAAATCCAGGTTGTGCCGGCTCCGAAAGTCCAAGTGGAGCAGATGAAGCCTCAAATCCAGGAGGCAGACCTTGTTGATCTGAAAGTCCAAGATCAGGGGTGTCAAGGTCCTCATCTTCTTGGAGGATGGAGGGTGAGCACTCCTCGTCAGCAATTGGAGGTCTTTCGATCAGGGTGGAGTCAAGCAAACGACGGCGGTGAGCAGGTTGTTCAAGATCTGAATTGCCGTCATCAAGAACCTCTTCATCAGTGCCCACATCTTCCAAGCGTCTCTTGTTGAGGACGTTGAGATCCAAGTAGCGAGTGACACCTCGAGATCTGAGTTGCTGCACCACGTCCTTGGCAGTCTGGAAGTTGTCAGCCAGAGGCTCAGAAGACTTGCCAATCTCAGGTCGAACATGGTGAGGAGCAGCTCGAAGAAGTTGAGATTTGTAGGCCAGCCAGTAAACTTTCGCTCGACCATCATCATCTTCTTCTCTCACGAGGATGGTGGCAGGCCCTTTCCATCGGATTTTCACCAAGTCAGCATTGCGGCTGTCTCGCCAGAAGAAACACTTCTGTCCAGGGTTGAGTGCAATGTTGTTGCCAGCGTATTTGCGCAGCAGTGCGCGTCGAAGCTTTTGGTCCACATCTGCTTGGACAATGGCCATCTTTGCAGTGGCTCGCCTGGAGAGCTCGTCTTCAAAGGTACCTCCAAGGTGTACTGGGGTCAAAGAAGATCCAAGAAGCTCGCCAGGAAAATCAGGAGATTGGCCAAGTACCCATTGAGCAGGTGAAAAGCCAGAAGTGGATGGTGAGTTGTTGAGCTGAGGCACCACGTAGCTCAGGGCTTGTCGCACAGCATTGGCACCAGTCATTCCAAAGTCTACCAAGTAGATCTCCAGTGCTTTCCTCAAAACTGAGTGCCTTCTTTCAACTAAGGACAGTTGTTCATGTGCCTCTCCAGCAGCAACAACATGATGAACTGAATGCTCATCAGTCCAGGCCTCGAATTCACGGCCAAGCCATCCACGACCTTCATCTGTGACCAGTCTGGTCATGGGACCAAAGTGAGAGATCCAACATCGCTCAAGGGCCAAGATGTAGTCCTCGGCTTTCTCGCTGTTCACAACTTGGGCAGCTTGAAACTTGGTGCCCTCATCAACCATGGAAAGAATTGGAATCTTGTTGTCACCGGTTTTCAGCCAAAAAACATCGGCTTGAACACTTTGGTTGAACTTGCAAATCACCTTCGAGGATGCAGGTGCCACTTGGTTGGGTTTTCGATATCTAAGGCAAGAGTGGCACTGGAATGTTCTGGCAACAGCAAGAACAGCTTCAGAAGCACCTCTGGATTCAAGCATCTCAACCAGTGAAGTCGGTGAAGGATGTCCAAGATTACGGTGAAGACGCTGCACAGTCCGCACAGCTTCACCATGGTTTTCTGTCATCAGTTGAATCAATTTGCCTTGGACAGCTTTGACTTCATCCACAGCGTTCACATCTTCCCAGCAGTGAGGAACTTCAGGAACTGCAAGGGCTGACGCAAGGACAGCTGAGAGCGCAGGCTGGTAGTCCTCCATATAGCTGGTTCTTGAGCGCCCGGTGCCAGGGAAGGTTCCCTCCAGCTTGCAGTGGTAGTGATCTCCTTCACATCGAAGGTTCATGGCTTGTGACATTGCAGACTTGGTTGTCAGAAGTCCAGTGGTTTTGCGAACAGGGCGCCAAACACCATCATGGTCAAGGCAGCATGCGCCGTATCGGCATTGGTCAAAGATGGCATAGAGGCCAGGCAAGGTCGCCAGAGCCTTGGTGTGCCAAGACAAGGCGCCATCTGGTTGTTCAAGGTGGGCATGTCGGCCCTCATTCAGCTGCTTCAGGTAGATCTTGCGGCAAAACCGAAGATGGCAGTCATGATGGAGCTGTCGTTGTTGGGTCAGCAACTCCTTCTTCTCATCAGTGGTGGCATTGATCGCTTGCATACGACTCCAGAGTCCACATCGAGGAGCCAGGAACACTTCGTCGGGAAGCACTTCATCCATGAGTTGTAGAAAAGCAGTTCTGTGACTGGCAATGTCAAAGTCCCAGCCGGTGTCATATCCAAAGACCTGAACATCACAGCCAAGAGCTTCAGCCAGTTGTGAAGTGCGAGACGCACCTGCATAGACTTCCCAAACGATTCGTGGTCGAGGTTGGCTTTGATGGAGTTCCTTGGTGATGCAAGCATTGACTCGATTTTCCTCAGAGGTCATGGCATTCTCAAACATCTTCCAGTGCTTGTTCAAGACGGCTCGAGAGCCAGGTTCAGGTGGAGCAGAGTGCTCGCCTGCAGTCATGGCACCTTCTTCCTTCTCGTAGACGGTCAGGTCCACAGCATCTCCCATTGGTGGGTCCATTGTCGGTTCGTTGAGCTTGAGGTCAAAGTAGGGGACCTGGTCTGCAAGTTCAGTTTCAAAGTCCTCCGTCAGAGAAAGGAGGTATTCACCATGTCTGCCAAGTGTTATTGGTCGCCAGGGGCAGCCTTCAAACATCATTCTTTGGGTCTTGAAGTCGATGATGATGCCAAGGGCTTCGATGATGGGTCTTCCCATCAGCATTGGTGTCTCACCCTTGATGATGAAGGCCTGGCAAAATCCAAAGTTGTTGTTGACAAAGATTGGAACTCTGGCAACCCAATGGCTCGTGGTGGAATGGTCACCACCGAAATGAAAAGTTCTGGAAGTGCGTCGCATCTCAATGGTCTCAGTGGGGAAGCCAAGGTCTTTCAAGTGGGCAATGTAGCGCTCAAAGGGTCCTGAACCCATCAGAAAGGCACTGGCGCCAGGATCCAACATAGTGCAGTCAACTCGAGGTCGGCCAGCATTGTCTTCAAAAAGCACCAAGCCAGTTTCTCCAGGCATCATCTGAGCAGCCATGCCTTCAGTGTGCTGCTTCTTTGGGCTGGATGCAGTGGAGGAAGTCGTGGCATGCTTAGCTGGTCGTGGACATTGAGCTGCTTGGTGTCCTGCAGATCCACAGCGCAAGCAATGCAACACGGCAGAGGCTCTGCCTTTTGGGTCAGGGTTTTTGCCAGCACCACGAGGTGGATAGCGCACCACATTGCTACCCTTGCCTTTCCCTTTCTTGCCCTTTGGTTTCCCACCCTTGCCCTTCCCTCTGGTCGGAGAAGGTGATCCGCTTGAAGGTGCATTGGCCATAGAGCTTTGGTCTAAGGCAACCACAGGAAGGAAACCTCTGGACAGTTTGATGTTCTGAAAGCGACGTCTTGCATCAAGGTATGCAGCATATGCTTCATCATAGGTGTCAACGTCAAACTCGGCAAGGGTCTCTGCATCGTCAGCGTTGTAGTTCCCCTCACCTTCATAGTATGCAGCATTGGAGTCAAAGTAGTCTTCGGTCCACCTTTCATCAAAAGCCTCGTACTCAGTAGCTGCATAGCCATCATCGTACTCGTAGTAGCCATCATCATAGGCATCTGTGTCATCGTAGGTCTCATCATCCTGGGCTGCAAAGGCCTTGTTTCTGAAGAAGCGGCCAGCACCAGGTCGTCGATCATCTCGGTTCACAGCAGATCGATGATCTTGCCCGAGGATGATGAACAAGGCTTCTTGGACACGAAGTTTCTCAAGCTTCGGAGCCTGAGACAACACCAATTGGTATTGTTCCTTTGTAAGGTTGGCTCTTCTCAGCAGTAGCCAGCCTTGAATCTGATCAGGAAGTTTGACTCCATGCTCAGCGACTTTGCGATACTTCATACTTATACTTCTCATCGTGCTCCGTGCAGTAGGAGAGGAGCGAGGTTCCAGGTTTGCGGGTCAGGTTGAAGTAATTGTCAAAGTCCTGAGGCATACGGACTCGATTGTCATACTGAAATGCACCGTCCAGCAATGCAATCACAGCGTCAAAGGATGAAGCCTCATCGATCTTGGTCACATCAAAGCTTTCAACAAGCTTCCAAGCTGTGCCCTGCAAAGATCCGATGATGTTGAGCACGGACTCCACAGCTCTCTTCTGCAACTTCATCTTCAGGTGGTAGATGTGGATACGTTTTCTCCACTCCTGGTAAGAGCTGGGAGATCCATCAAACATCGGAATGAAGGAGTCCTTCGTGAAGTTGGAGTCCAGCGTGGTTGAACCTGAGCTCGACATAGTTCAAGAGGCAAGGCGCTGATGGCTCAAGCTCGAAGAGATACTGGCAGTGCAGGTCAAAACCAGTGAAGGGCTCAGCAAGGACAAAGATCTCGCCAAGGAGCACAGTGCAAGGTTCAAAGAGCTCGTCAAGGTCAAAGAGCTCGTCAGAGAGCACAGTGCAAAAGAACAGCTTAATCTCGGAAGTCAAGAACGTTGGATAGAGCAGGAAGATCTGGCAATGGTAGTGGTGGTTCAGTGGAATGTTCAAGTTGAAGTGGAGTGCGCAGTGGGGATTGAAACAAAGCTCCGCTGACCAGTATAAACTGGGCAGCCAGTTGAGCTGAGACACTCGAAGTTCACAGCGAAGCAAGGCAGTGCAAACGAGGCACTTTTCCAAGGTGCGTAGCCTATGGGGCGTTAGAAGTCCCTCCCTTTCTTGAGAGGCAAAATACGGTCAGAAGAACAAAATGAAATGAGGTCATCAGACCTGGATAAAATGAGGTCGTCGGACCTGACAGGAAACAGGAAAAACATGATCCCAAGTGCAATGCATGGAGTGCAATTGACAATTATCTATTTTCCATTGGAGCAGCAAGGGTATCACCCAAGGAGCGGTCTCCTCCCAGCTGTTGCATCTGCGGCGTCCTTCACGGCGGCTTTTCGGGTGAAGCGACAGGCGCGACCGGGGAGGGATTTGTCCGTCAAAGATGATCAAACATGATCTGGTTGGTGGTTTGGAACGTTTTTTTTTTTGACTTTCCATATATTGGGAATGTCATCATCCCAACTGACGAACTCATATTTTTCAGACGGGTAGGTCAACCACCAACAAGTGATGGTTTTAAGAAACAAACTGGTGAAAAAACGAAGTCGTTTCACACAACTTACCCTCTGGTTATTTAACATAGCCATGGAAAATGACCCATTTATAGATGATTTTCCCATTAAAACCTCCATGTATAAGGGTTTTTCCATGGCTATGTTAAATAATCAGATGGTATTTATTTTGTTTTGCGATGAATGAGGGGTTTGTCAAAGCAACCAACCGCCTGTATCTGATGAAAGATTGGTCAGGCCAAAACCCCCATGAAGCAGAGCAATTCCGTGACACAGGCTGGCGTTTTGGAGTGTAACGCCTGGGGATTGGGGTAGATATTAAACGCGGGGAACTGGAAGAACTGCCATTTTTCATAGGTAAATCAACGAACTAAATGGCAATGTTCAATAGCTATGTCAAATTACCATATTTGCTTTAATTGCAGTACGTGAATTATGACAAGTTGTCCGGAATTTAAACAATGTGATGTAACCAGCTTTATCCCCCTATCTAAATATTCAATTCTCCCAAGTTTGATCCCAAAAAATGAAATCACATAAGAATGCTAAACCAGGTGTTCTGTTGGGTTTTATCATGTCATAGGTGCTGCAGCCTTCATATATACAGGGTTTGGGTTTGGGTCTATATTAATATCTGTATATTTCGCCATCCATTTGGGGAGGGTTTGGTTGCACGGTGCTGTTTCTCGTTGGGAAGCTGCTTCAACTGTATCAGCATGAAATGCGGTGCCAAAAATTTTGACCTGCAGCTTTCCATGACAGTTTCAATGAGGGAGGGTGGTCCCCTACATGATGCTGTTGAACAAGATCTCTGCATCACTCTTGATCCCAATTCGTTCCCCAGGTGGCATTAATGTACCCGGAGGGGTGTCATCAAACATGGCTGTAAATTTCCGAACTGGCCATGGCTGGTTGGTGGTTTCAATCATTTTCTATGTTCCATAATATATGGGATGTCATCCTTCCCATTGACTTTCATGTTTTTCAGAGGGGTTGAAACCACCAACCAGATGGGGATGATGATAGATGGGTGGTTTTTGAGCAAGCCACGAGGGCCAGATGATAGAGATGACCAAGTAGCAATCACATGAAACCAGCTGACAGGACACCAAGTACTCCAAGTTGGTGAAGGAAGATCGGATGATTACCATCCAGGACTAGCCAAACAATAAGGCACCACTGCTTATACATACACATGCACACACATAAATGTATCTGGTTGATGGTTTGGTTTGGAACATGAATCTTATGACTTTCCATATATTGGGAATTTCATCATCCCAACTGACGAACTCATATTTTTCAGAGGGGTAGGTAAACCACCAACCAGGTATGTATATACACATGCATACAGTATACATGGGCCGGTCCTGCGCTTGCTTCGAGGCTTAGTTTGGTAGCAACATAACCCGAGGAATTTTATAGATCCGGCTTGATCATTTCAGAGGGGGTGACGATTTCCTTAAATATGGATCCAGTGGTTAGATAATATGCTATTTAACAGTGATAATTATCTAACCACTGGGTCCATATTTAATAGCCTTGATAGGGATATTATAGGGATAATCCCTCTTTTTTTGCCTTGACAGGGATTATCCCTATGATAATTATCCTATTTATATGCCTTGATAGGGATAGTAATAGGGGAATTACAGGATAATTGTAGGATACTAATGGGATAGTAATGAAATACCCTCCGGTATCATCAAATGTTGCTGGTAAATCCATGTAAATCCCCGAGGTCATGAAGCTTTAGTTCCCTGGCATGGTTTGTTTGACTACCGGAGTTGTGTTCCTTGAGATTTGTCAGTCGCGGGTTGTGGGGTTGATAAATTCAGGGACAGTCATGTTATGTGTTGGTAGATGCTAAACTGTTTATGCTTATTATTTATATACTGGTTGGTGGTTTCAAACATAAATTTCATGACTTTCCATATATAGGGAATAATATTCCCAACTAATTTTTATATTTTTCAGAGGGGTTCAAACCACCAACCAGTATAATATTTGTACAATCAAGTGGCATATCATCAATGTAGTAAACAGGAACACTTGCAACTCCCAATGGTTTTGGTTGGACAACTCTTAGAAACCAGTGGGATCGGGCGGTGGATGGCTGGATGGCATGACTCTGCCAGAGCACGGGCTTTGCAAGAGGAATCCAACCTTCGCTACGCCGGAGCCGCTCTCATTTTGCTGGTTGGAATCTACAAGAGCCTGGGATACTGTATATAGGTGACGTCTCACTGTGGCAGGCGCTTCATCCAAGCATTTGAGGAACTAGATGGTGGGATACCAGTTGGAACACGTCCATCGAAGATATGGTCCGATAACCTCAAGGGGTGGACACGTTCTACCAGACATGGACATGGTAACCCCGACGCATTGATCAACAAACAATAGCTTGACTTTCTGTAGTAGAAAAGAAAGTCCGAACAAATTGTGTATAATATGAATTTAGAATATGTACAGTATATATATATATGTATATACAGTATAAACAATGCATAAACAATGCGCGAACTTCACACGCGATAGTCGTTCTGGTTAAGCAGTGGCCGCACACCCATTTGCTCGGAGGACCCGAACTACTGTGGATGGAGAAAATCCTGCGGTTGGTAACTATTGGGATTCCTATGAAGCCCTGTAAATAATGGGATAATGGGATAAACCATCTAGCAACACAGGATTTCGCAACCACAGTAGTTGGATATCTTCCCCATGAACCCAACAGCCTTAGGAATTATGATTCATTATCCGACCTAGCGCTCACAAGACTGGGGGCACCAGCTTGTACATTCCCAACCCAACAACAAATCCGCAAAAAGATGGTGTGGTACGTGAAAATGATGGGAATCCACATTTGATGCTTGAGAAAAACCATTGTTTTTCTGAAATTGCCAGAAATAGCTGGAATCATGTGAAATCTCCATAAATCAGACACTTCGCACCCAATTTTCATAGGAAATCATGGGACTTCCGGTGGCAAAGAGGGCCATCGAGGTACGTTGGCATGTGCTCCAGCGGCGTCTTCAACTACGGCAGCATTGCTGCCGACGCAGCTGGGGCCTGGGCGGTCTTTGAGACGGGGCGGCAATCTCTCTGAGGTGCAACCAGTTTTTGGATGGATGTTCCAATATGGAGGTAAACCCTAAAATGGGGGTAATGTGGGTAGATCAATGTTACAAACCACCCCTAAAAATGGTGACGGTTCAAAAACCAGCCATAAAAATGGTGATTTTGGGGATGGTTTATGGCATTGGCCATTAACCACATTACCCCAACACCTAGTGGGTTTCAATACTGGTCATTCATGACTTGGATGAATTGGAGTAGCCATGTTGAGGATCTTCATGTTTCTTGCTGAGGTGTCCCCGTACGGTTTGGCCATCGAGTCTCTTCGGTTTGATGATGGTAAAGGCTGTAAAGGTCTGAGGTTGTCATCGAATGTATGGAGTATATATGGAGTGTGGCTGTCTAGCTGCCTACCCTTAGCAACATATGTTTCTATCGTTTTTGTATGTTTCTCTTGATGTTTTCTACATCTGCAAATTGTGGCAGGTCCTTTTTTCAGTGCTTTCCATCACCTGCCACTGGAGATTCCCAATCGCTCGACGAGCGTGGCCAATGCAGGTTGCGTGCTGGCTTTACGCTGGAGTCTGGATAAACCCTTTTCGATGAGCGAAGCCCCTGCTGAGTACAAGGGCTTCCTAAGCAAGACACCTGGCAGATGTTCAGTGAATGATTCTAGATGGTGGCATGTGTTTTTATTGCAAAACAGGTAGACATAGGTACCAAGCTAAGTAGTTCATTGACAGAGATGCCAACCAATGCATCATATATATTCATATATACTGTATGTAAATATGTGTGCGTGCATAAACCTACGCATAGGCTACCATTCTTCCACTGTTTGCTTGTAAGCCAGCTTGGCAATTGGAAACAGCTATTTTTTGAGTTTGGAACAATCTAATGTTACATTGCCTGATTTTATCACTGAGGTGTTGAAGACCCATTTGTTAGAGCTAAACCCATCAGAACCACTGGTGATTTAATTGAGCCGTGTCAAAAACCTGGTTGGTTCATGCTTATTATTGCTATTATTCTTGTTTGGTGGGTTTTCCAATATTTTCCAAGAGGTTGTTGCAACTTAAAGCCTTGTTGCAAATTGCCAGGTTGATATGGTCTGCCTCAACCAGGCCCAGGCCCATCATTTTGGGCTACGGTCAGCTTCCAAAGGACGTTTTTCAACAGCAATTTACAAGGAAATGAATCATTTCACAGAAGCCCCTAAAGATTGGAAGGCGGATGATGATCCAGATTGACAAACAAATCTAATCATAAATCTTGGGAATGGGATGACAGCCATCAAGAAACCTTACGGGTTTGCCAGGTTGTTCTTGATTTCCAATCCCCAGATAGTAAACGCCGACTACACTGGCTTCACCTCATCCAACGCCGGCCATGGCTATGCAGCCGCGGCGAAGGTTTAACACCTTGTGCGTTGCTGTGGCGCTGGCGTGCGGCAGTTTCTCCTCAACTTGGTTGGTCCCTCCCCGCAGTTCCTGCGTCAGCAGGGCAGCGGAGGGCACAGCCGGCACGGCGGCTGTGGAGGGCGCTGACGAGAGCCTGCTCCCCGAGCTACTGGACCTAGCGGCTGATGGTGGGTCTGCTTTGGAAGAACGACTTGAAGAAGTATTTGCCCAAGTTTCTCCAGATGATTTGGCATCTCTGCGAATGAAGGTTGCTGATCCACAGGCTGCGGACCATTTGGCAGCTCAACGCTTGGGTGATGCGATCCAAATGGCCATGACTCGGCGCTTGACGGATGCCAAGAATGTCTTGGAAGAGTTGATTCAAGAGGCTGATGGCGACGTGAATCTCAAGATCCGCAAGATGTTGAAATCTGTTGAGAGCCCACTGCCGATCCTCATGGTCTTGCAGCTCAACATCGGTGAGGCGCAAGCTTCGGCGGATGGAGAACGACTGCAGGTGCTGATGCATATCAGCACCGTGATGCAGGAGGAGCTTGAAAAGAAATCTTCCCGAGTGAGGGGAATGTTAAACAAACTCTTGAGGATTGAAGATGAGAACATCAGGAACAACATTCTACGAGATCAGCTGACACCAGTGGAGGTTGCAGGTGCCCCTGGTGGCACTCCATTGATGGCCGCTATGGTTCCACCAGATCGCTTGGCTCCAGCCATTGCCAGCCTCGTGCAAGAAGTGGATCGGCAAATGGTGGCAGTGCTGGGTCCAGATGATGAAGGTCGCTATGAAACCATGGATCGGATTCGCCAGGTGGCCAAACAGGCGCGTCTCATCATTGGAGAAGTTTATGGCCAGGGACTCATGGATACCTTCAGCGCAGATTTGACGCCCGCCTTTCACACCTTGATGTCGTACAAGGCGCGGAACCGCCCTGACGCTGGTGCTACCGCAACGGAGGAAGTTTCAGAGGCGAAGAATGCGGGGGACGACTAACCACCGGAGCGTAGTGCGGCGCCAAAAAAGGGGCCGCCTTTGGGACATTTACAGAATGAGAAATAGTTTACCCTCTGGTTATTTACCATAGCCATGGAAAATGGCCCATTTATAGATGGTTTACCGATTAGAAATTGTGATTTCCCATTGCTATGTTAAATAACCAGATGGTATATTTTGCTATTATCTATTAAACACTATTAAACTATACTAGTTTGCACATCATAGAAGCATATTATATCATAATATATATATATATATACATGATTATATGTATGCATATTTGCCAAGTTTTTTTTGACCACGACTATGGGGATGTCTCAAGATGTCTCAAAATGTCTCAAGAGACCCTGGCTGCCCACGACTCTACGGTCCCCAGGAGGAGGCTGCAGGCGTTGCAGCTGGGCGGCCCAGCTGCCCTGGTGGGTGCGCTTGCGGCCACCTTGGCAGCAGCCGTCAACGGGCAGCTGATGGAGGTGGCCGGAGGCCCTAGGACTGGGGCGAAACCATCCGTCTTTTTTAGTGCGAAAGTTGCAGCCAACAATTAGTTTCCGGCATTTGTTACTTGGAAGAAATCCATTTAAAGCGTGTTGTTTTTTGTTATTTCTTGGCTGGTTTTCCCAGCAAAAGCGGTATAGAATATCCAAACAAATGTTCCTGCAGATGTGCCCCTTCCAAAACAACCCAGAAAACAACCCTCCAGCTCCTGCATTTTTGTTAAATCCAGTTTTTTCGTTAGGTAAATCGGTAAATCCTATGATTGTTGGCTCACTCCTTAGTTTTTCTTCATGAAGTGCCAATTGTTGATTGAATCAGTGGATCTATCCAGAAACCATACCTTGTTTCATGCCAAACAATCCCCAAGCTTCTTGGAAGACCACCAAAGTTGGAGAAGCCACCAGCTCCTGGAAACCCAGCAGTTTGGTCCTCAGGTTCCAACCCTTCAGGGCTGTGGAGCCTTTGGTCTCCTCTCCTTCATCATCGCTCAAGTCGCAAAGCGGCTGAAGTAGCGATGTTTGGCCCATGGGGCCTGGACAGATCCGAGGGAATCCAAGTCTGCCAGAGGAAGTTGATGGAAGTTGGGCCATTTTGGGCCGTAATTTTTCGTGACACCCAAGAGGTTTTGGTGTGGTTTTTGAAGCACTCAAAAGCTTGTGAACAAAGATAATCTCGGTCAAACGGTGAAACCATGATTCTTTTGTGATACCCGATGCCACATGTCTCTTTTGGATTCTTTTGCTACATTGACTCATTTAGAGGTTTCCTAAAATGGGGACCCCGAATCATCTAAAACTTGACCATTTTAATATTGAACCAACGAAGGTGACTTGAGGATCCCCCATGACTTAAGAACCCCCATAGCTTGGACACCCTGGCAGCCACGGACTCCCAGATTTTCAGGCTGCAGGGAGTGAACCCCAGTAGCCGTCAACAATTTTCAAATACCTTATGATTTGGTGCCCTGAATGAACGTCCTCCATAGGTTTTTCCAATGAATGGCTAGGTCTAGGTCTTAGGCCTATAGACTTTCTAGAATCAAGAAAGATGGGATGACATCCTGGCCCCCCAACACGACATAAAATTTTCTTGAAGATGAGTACAATGAATCAACCCCATGACGGATGCGCACGCTAGGTGCCTCACTCAACTAATGATGCCAGCAAAACTGCTTGGAGCGGAAGAGCTGGGTCGATGACCCCTAGATGTGGTGCTACATCCGGAAAACGTGGAGTAAGGCGGCCAAAAAGGGCTTGCCTTCGTCGAAAATCACTTTGCAACACACGTTTCTTGGGGTTTTATCCTAGTTTTCCGGGCTGAAGAGTTATTCAGACAATTTCCACATGTTGCCATGTTGAATTGGAAAAACACAATAAAAAATAAAAAGACTTAGGTTTTTAATGGCTCTCATTTTTTGATTTTCCAACAACAGCCGGGCTCAAGGGGCCCCGGCGCTTGCGATCATGGATGGGACAGGCTGGGCGTCGTCCCATTTATTCACTGATATGCCAGGATATTACAGTTATGGCCAGTTATTAGTTATAAGTATTTATAACCCCATTTATGGAATGCATAATCCCATTTATAACCAGTTATAACTGGTAAATGGCCATAACTGTATAATGCAGTACACGAAATCCTACCCGCCATTACCATCCAAATTATCATTGGAAATCCACGGTTTTTTTAGATCGTTTTCCGAAGGGAACTCCGGTCATGGAACCCTAGTTTTCCCACATCTTTTGGTATGTTTACTGGAGGCACACTAAAAAATAAAACATCATTTTGGACGAGCCCATTTCCGCCATGGTTTCCCAAGGGATTTTCATCGGTGCAATCCACAGTTCTTTTGCTTAAATTGCAATGTTTGAACATGTTCGCTGCCATCCTGACGTTGCGCCGCGTCTGACTTCAGGTGGCTATGAAGATAAAGTTGATGTTATTACCCCAATCAACATATTGTTCGTAGGGGGGTGGCCAATTTTGATCCCTCATGGAGATACAGTTGATATTATTGCCCCACTCAACATGTTCATAGGGGGTGGCGAATTTTGATCCCTTATGAAAATGAAGTTGGTGTTTTTACCCCAATCAACAAATTTTTCATACGGGATGGCGAATTTGATCCCTCATGAAGATAAAGTTGATGTTATTACCCCAATCAACATATTGTTCATAGGGGGTGACAAATTTTGATCCCTCATGGAGATATAGTTGATGTTATTGCCCCACTCAACATCTTTTTTCAGAGGGGGTGGTGAAAATGTTGACCCTCATGAAGATAAAGTTGATGTTATTACCCCAGTCAACATATTGATAAGAGGGGGTGGCGAATTTTAATGTGATGATGATCATGATGTGATGATGTGATGATGTGATGATGTGATGATGTGATGATGATGATGATGATGATGATCATGATGATCATGATCATGATCATGATCATGACGATTGTAAGTGTGGAGCAACGTCCGGCTTGGGGCGAACATGCTGTCATAAATCACATTAAATTGCGTTTTTACCAACACTTTGTTTTAAACCGAGCACATCCTCAGCAGACATATCCGTTTTCTCCAGTTGCAGTAACCCCATATTCTTGATGGGTTGAAGTTGTTAATTCCGTTCATTAGTATACTAGATTTATGAAAATAGTTTAGTTTACCTAGATACCACTCCTATATCTCAATTATATTCTATTATCCCCATTATATCCTTATGTTCTCTAGTTAGCCCCATATTATTCATGGTTAAAGGATATTTATAACACATAGATACATAGATTATCCCTAAGATCTATATTATATTCGGTTATCCCAGTCATGGTGAAATGGCTGATAGATTTACCAAGAATTATCATATCCCCATTGTATCCCCATGGTTAGGATATTCTTAGTTATTCTTTGTTATCCCCATTACATCCCCATGGTTATGATAATTACTACATTACTAATGATCTTAGTTATCCCCATGGTTAAATCCCTATGTTTTACCAAGATCTTCCCCGCAGGCGGCTGCGCCCTGGGTTTCTACAAACTCCTGGAACAGTGGCTGCCTAAGAGGCCACTGCCAGGCCCTGAGGAGTCCCTTGGATGCCGGGAACCGGAGAAAATGCTGGGTTTCACCATGAAGAATGGTCTTCATGGTGAAACCTGGTGGTTTAACATGGTTTAACCATGAAAACAATGGGAAATCCTGGTTTAACATGGTTTAACCATGAAAAAAAAACGTGGAATCATGGGATTTCCCATCAAGACTGGTCAAAACATGAAACATGTTGGTTCGATGGTGATTTGGCCATGAAACATAGGGATTTTTGCCAATTAATAGTGGATATGGGTGTGTCTGAAAAACAGAATGGATTTGAAATTGGCAATTTCAAATTGCTTATGTATAGTAACATAAATTTGTACTTTACCTTTGCGGTGGCTTGGTGATATGACGCGCCTGGCCAACGAGCTTGCGTGCTGACCTGCCACGTCACCTTTTTAGCTCGCCTTCAGCTTGACTGCTGATCTCCTGAGATGGCGATGGAGAGAGAAATTGCCTTGTTATAAGGAAAATGATGATCAAGCAGCGGACAAAGACCCAAACATGGATTTGTTGAAGGTGATTTGCAGTTTTACTATAACTATAGGTTCATCCATCATTTGAAGAATCTAGCTCTTTTGGTTGATGTCAAATCTATGGCCTCGCAAACCAATGACAATTGCTGGTTGGTGGTTTGGAACATGAATTTTATTTTCCAGTATCTTGGGAATGTCATCATCCCAAATGACTTTCACTCCATCATTTTTCAGAGGGGTGGCTCAACCACCAACCAGATGTGATTTTTATCAACGAAAATATGGGGCCCAGGGAGGATATGGAGAGGCAACCAGCAATGTTCAGATGTGTCGCTACTGGTGGCTGGGTACCAAATATGTCAGTTTCGCAGTTTCGCCCAGAAAAATCCTAGTGATGATGTATTCTCATATTGTTTGGCTCTGCACATTGATCACGCAATTTTGAAATATCACATGTTTTTATCATCAAGTGATATTTTTCTAGCCCTGGATCCCAAGTGTGTGATATTCCTCCATGAGTTTAAGTTACCGATGGAACCCCAACACAAAAAGAGCAACACGGACTGGGAGTTTCCTTTCCGATAACTAGATGGATTAGATCGCCACACGCCATCATATGCTTGTGGTGTTTTTGGGGTAGTATGTCCAACTTTGGAAGAAAAATGCCTGATTGTTTGCCATTTATTTGCCAATATTTTGTTCGTGCATGTGCCAGAAAATGACAGATGCCAGTAAAGTCCTTCTTGTTGATTTGTTTGACCCCTTGGATTTTGTGCATTCTGAAAACGCATAGCTTTCGTGGATGCACGCATAATCATACATCCATTATCAACATGTTGTAGATGTACTCATGTGACTAATGTTCGCCCATTTTGAACTATCAAAATGGGCCTTCAACATGAAGCTCAACCACCTTGGGATGGGTCTTTCTCCAACATCGGCCCCAAGGGTCAACGAGTTTGGCTTCAAATGTGGTTGTTGTCAACATCCATGTTTGTTAGCTTTTGTTGGGACTTGGATCATCCCACTTTATATAGGAAGTGGTTAATAACCCTGGTTAGTAAGTCTCCGTTTCGAGGATTATCATATTTATACATAGATTTTTGATAGCCCAACTATGCCCAATTGACCAGTTCAAACTCATCGTGGGACTCGCTGAGGATTCCACATGTTTGCAAGATCACATCGTTGTTTGAGCCTGAGCTCTACATGGCTCAGGCGCAGGAAAAACTTGAAACATGTCGTTTGGGCATTTGGGCCAGCAGCGATTTAACGTTCAACCAATCTTCGGGAATCAAATACAATCGAAGACAGTCATGCAGATTAAGGAACGCTCTCGGGGTTACAACTGGCTGGTGGTTTCAAAGCATGATTGTTCGCACTTCCTTGAATAGGATGATGACTCGATCTTGTTTTAGCATGCATCTTGATTTTCATGAAATGGCATGTCTATCCACCATCAGGGTTGCTCCAACCCATCATAGAATTATTTATAACCCCACAGGATGAAATGTCTAATTTGACCTCTGTCTCAAACGGGCAGATTTCCCTGAGCTTCCAGGCGGTGAAAGCACACAAACTGAAAGAGTTGCACAAGACGACTGAAGTTTGTGAGCAGGCGGCTGGATAGGACTGGTTTGGAGGATGATTTCATGATGATTTCATGATGATTTCATGAGGATCAACGATAGGATTGAGCTCAATTAGCTTGAAATTGCGATGTATTGACAGTGGATGATCAGAACTAGCCAACTCAAGTGATGAATTCACTCTGAACATGGCTGGTCCAAGCAACATCTCTGAGGTATTGCCAACCAGCAGTAGGCAGCACAATCCGGAACCTCGGCAGCGATTGGGACGGGATCGTTCGATCGTTGTGGCCTGGCCGGGAGGGACCATCGAACTGGTGAGGTGAGAACTTGTTCAGTGAGAACATAGGAAAATGGAGGTTTTTTCATGGGAAAACCATAGGAAAACCCATAGGAAAATGGATGTTAACCCTCTAGTAATTTGTTACATAGCTATTGAAAATGGCCATAGAAATAGTGAGTTTTCCCACTAAAGATGGTGGATCTTTCCATAGTTATGTTAGTTTACCAGTGAGTAGTCGTATTGGATAGTATTAGTAGTACTCGTACCCATCATTAAAAACCACATCCCGACTGGTTTCTGGTGAATATTGGCAAAGTATGCCGCCCATGGTAGGAACCACATTGTGACCATGCATCTCCTCTCAAGATTGTTTGGACATGTTGACCCCAAGGATCTCAAATTGGCGCCCTTACCAGCCCCATCAGCCAAACCTTAACCCTCAACCCCCTCACTCCTAACTCCGGAATTCATCATCATCATCATCATCATCATCATCATCATCACAGCGTGGCGCCCCCAGTCATAAATTAGTTGCTACGCCCTTTTCAACCCCAATTCACTATGGTATGACACACCAGAAGCTTATGAAATCTTGTCGGGGCCAACTGGAAATCAGCAAAGAGCTAATTTCTCTCTACGTGTATTTTTGCATATCATATATCTATCTATCATCAATTCTTATCTACAATATACAATCATCCGGCACTTGACATTGACATCGACGATGATCTCCACGAATCAAAGCATATCAACATTGATGATAGATAGATACTCGTATCATTTATAGCTATCTGATATTTTATGGGTCATTTATCATCAATCTTCATCTATTATCGACATCATCCGGCGGATTTAATATCTCATACATCTATCATTCATCTTTATCCAGAATATTTGATCTCCACCATCGACAGACCATTGACATACCTATCTATCATCGATCTCATCCATCATTAATAGATATCAAATATTCCAAAATGAGCCAAACTTTATCATCATTGATCATCAATCTTCACCTATCATCATCCACCAACCACCATATCAACATTGATGATAGATAGATATCATGAATAGCTTTTATCATTCATAAAAATCATCAATCTTCATCATCGACAGACGATTTCGACCAGACACAGACCCATCGACCCAGGCGGAGTTTCAGAGTGGCGATTTGGTGGTTCTGGGCTCGACGAGCTTTCATGGCGGCTCCGCCGCCGTGCTCTGCGAGATGACCTCCCTTGACTGCAAGGTGTGACTTAAAAACGGGCGGGGCAAGCCATGGGGACACGTTGGATGTGTTAAACGTTAACGGAGTTAACGGGGGAATACGGGGAGGTGATCTATAAAGATACATATAAGATCATATATATACTATAAAGTCATTGGGATGGGTAAAGTGTAATTCGCTTCAACTCAGTGATTTTGGTGTTTTTTGCCGTTGTTAGCTGGTTTCTGCTAATGACAAAATATGACGAATTTGGAAAGGTAAGCGACATGTAATTACCCTAGAAATCATGGATTCAACAGATGGGATTTCATAGGTGAATTATCATGCATGATTTGTCTTGTGAGCTGGTGATTTTCCATTTTCGGGATTGATGACCAAGGGTTAAGAGATGGGAGTGGGAATCATTACAACCTGCAAAATACACCAAAGCCCAAGAAACATCAAGAAACCGCTCAACAAGCTTCTGTTGGTGTGTTTTCTTGTTAAAATGTTCAATAAACAACTCGTTTATCGGAGTTGTTTTCCAGAACGGAAACAGAGACCCACCCACCCCTCCAGCTGACGGCTGTGACATTCATGATCAAACTACTTGGAACAGGTGCCTTTAGCTGGGCTAAAGTGGTCCATGACTTGAGGTATCCCAAGATCAACTTGTCCAATCTATACCATCCTGGACATCTCAAGATACCCATGCTGATAAAGTTTATCCCCATTATGTATCATATTTCATATTTTCCATAACTGTTCCATGGCTTTTCCTCGCGATTTTCCCGTGACTTTCCGATGTTTTTGGCCATCCCCTGAGCCCTTGCCATCCAGGTGGCCATTTTGGACACCTCGCGCAGCTTCAAAGTGGCTGAGGACCACGTGAAGTCCAGCGACCTGCGACTGATCCACCAGGACTGGCGCATTGGATCCAGGCATATCATCGGAGGCGGGGCTGATCGAGTCACTTACCCTCTGGTTATGTCAAAATAGCTATTGAAAATGGAATTTTAATGGGATTTTTATGGGATTTACCCTCTGGTAATTTAACACAGCTATTGAAAATGACCATAGAAATAGTGGATTTTCCCATTGAAAATGGTGGATCTTTCCATATTTATGTGAAAGTGTACCAGAGGGTGTAGGAAAAAAAACTAGGGTTGGTGGTATTTGTGACACTAGTTCAAGGGGTTGAAAAATAGCAATGTAAAACTCAAGTGGTGAATGAGGGTAGTCAATTTCTAGATGGATAACCTACGATTTGTGGGATGATCCTCGAAGTACACTCTAGTTTCACCGAAAAAAGTTCAACTGAACTAGTTGATTTTTTGTTGGGTTTACCAGATGATACCAAACAAACCAAAGAGAAGTGGTCTCAGATTGTTGTGTTAAAAATGTTTAACATATCCCTAGCTGAAACTGCGATGCTTCAGAGAAATGGTTGATTCATGGGGAATGAAGCCACCAAGCCCATCATTTGTTTACGGTTTGGAGTAAAGGCCCTTGTTGGTTGATGATAGGGGATTGACACCATCCATTCGGAGACCCCCTATGAACCAACCAAGCTTCGAACCCTTCGACCCACGCCTAGGCCTACAGAGCAGTCGCATGAAGCACTTGAATGGCTTGGTGGCATGTGTCAGAGAACACCGACGCTATGGTCACCCCTGCTTTGTGCCCAAACCAGACTCGAATGAGCTGAAACTCCGACTCTGTGTGCGTTGGGAGAACTCACAGGAGAACTCCAATGGCGCCCTGTTGTTGGAGCCACGGTTCCTCTCACCATGTCTCACCGTGCCACCATTGCCACAAGCACCGCCAGCGCCACTAGCACCGCCGCCGCCGGAGAGCCAGTTGAACAAGGAGGCGTCAAACGATGAGCCGCTGCCAGACACGACGCTATTGACGGCCAAGCGGCGCCTTCCGTTGAACTGGAACATCTCCTGTGAAGGATCGGGAGCTTTGCGGGCAATTGATGAAGTTGAACCAACCATTTGTCACCTCCCCAATGCGTCTCGGCACCGATCGGCCATCCGGGGGAGCTTAAAATGCTTAAATCACCCACTGACGCCATATCCACTATTCATTGGTTAAAATCCATGTCAAATGCCTATTTTGAATGGTTAATTAAATCATGAAAATCCATGTCAAAAGCCCATATTTCATGGTTAGATCAATCTAGATCCATATTCAGCCAACGGCTGGATACGTAGCATTGGTATCCAGTATCTCCCCATCCGATCACCACAGGTGGAAAGCCTGACTCCTGCGCCCACGAATTGCTCCGCCAACTTCTTGGGAGTTCTCTCCTGGATGGTGGGCGCGTGTGGTTCTCAGCAAAAAATGGGCGATCCCATGACCCCAACATGCGGATTTACGAAACACATGATGAACAATGGTGATATAGAATATAGCAAATGTTGATTTAATACTTGTTGAGGCATCAAATCTGGTAACTTGACCAACAAAAATGGGTGCTATAATTGGTATATACAAGGGACTTGTTGATGGCAAATCTGAGAAACATTGACCACGACCTCACGTCGCGATGTCACTGGAAATGCAGCTTAGGATTGGGGAATCATCCCTTAAAATGGCTGTTACTGGAGGTTGGTGAATCATTATCACGTGTCCAAATTTAATATTTAAGTGCAGATTTACCATGGAGATTTGTTGGAAACATGTGACATTTTGTGGGATGTATCACGGATTTAACCAAGAAAAACATGGTACAATCCCTTGCCCCGCACAATCAAACGATGAAATACCATCCAGAATTCATGGAACAATTGTGATATAGTGGGCCTGGGGGATGTGGAGGGTTCATGAAGTTTTTTCTCCATAAAGAAAGGATAACCCCATCTCCCTAATATTAAATGTTCCCCAATGAATAATATATGTCAAAGGGAACGTAGTGACAACATACAAACAATTCATGCATGGGACGCCACTTTGGCTCAAGACCCCCTGCGTGTGTAAAAGAGAGCGATTGCTGCCTGCCATGTTTACTGGGTCCGGAAACTAGCAGTAAGACAAGTACCACTTGAAATATAACATCCAGAACAAGGATTCATTTGCTCACAGGTTATCAGCCGTAGGGCTCACTTCTCCCGCCGGGAGAGTGGTACCTGCGTGCTGGTAGCCGGGCCTTCTGAGCAATTGATTGAGGACGCAAAGGACCAATCAGCTCATCATCGCAAAGATGCAAGGCGGCCACGCAGTTTACCTTTAATGAGAACGCCGCTATGCCGGTCGAGGAGGTCAATCAATCTTCCCCTGGCGACACGGCAGACAGTGGCGGGATACGCTCTACCCGAACTACACAGTCCGGATGGCAAGTCACATCAAACAGACGAAGAATATCCACCCAAAGTACACCTAGATCTTCTCGAAACAGTGCTCGGAGTGATGTTGTCCGCCAAGGGCATCGACCATCTCGAGGACGAACTACTCCAAGGGACAGATCCACCAGGGCCGTGACCGACCGAATTGGTGAGAGGACCGGGGATAGTCGTGTTAAGAGGAGATCAACGGAGACTTCTGTGGCTAGTGAACCTATTGCCATGATAGAGGAACTACGGGCACAATGTCAATCCCTACGTAATCAGCTGAACAACATGGAAGCATACGCTGCATCTAGGGATCAACTGATTCATGACATCGAGATCAGATTCACTGAGTATCTTCGGGAACACAACCAGAATGTATTTGATGAGGTCAATGCACTCAATCATAGATTGTCATGTTCCGCAAATGAAGTTGCAGAATATCAAGCAGAACTAATGGTAGCATCTCAGGAAGACGAGGGTGCAACAATACGCATCCAAGACCTTGAACGCCGAGGTGCCCTGATGGAACATGGTGCACGACGGATCCATCAACGTGGTATGGAGATCCAGGAGGAGTACAAGGATGAAGTACATCACCTTCAAGGACTACTGGGTAATACGGAGGCAAGACTACAACAACTTCATCAAACCAATGTCTTAACCACCGATATTGCCAGTCGACTATACAATGAAGGTCAAGAAATGCAGACAGATTTCCAGAACTCAATCATGGAATATCGTAATCGATCCGAAATGGCATCCTTCTCTAGTAATCAACTTGAAGTGATTAGCCAACCACAATCAATTGCAGTTCATGAATTGTCTGAACGAAATCAGCTACTGAGTGAAGCTTTGGTTCAGTCTCGTAAACAGGCCGAGCTGTATGAGAGCAGTATTGATGAGATCACTAGAGAATCTAGGAAGAAGGTGTTCGAGGCAAATCAGGCCAAATTGGAAAGTGATCTGAAGCATCGAAACACTGAACATGATACCGTCAGAAGAATTGCATCATACAGGAACCAAGAGGCCGAAGCCATATCACACCTGAGGCTTGAATCACAGGCTAGTGCAAACTCGATCGCGAGGGCAGAGCACTATGAGGAGCTCTATGCCAACGAGCAGGAGATGAACTGCGAATTGAAGGATGAGATCAAGTCGCAGAACACGAAGTTGCGAAGATCGTTGACTCAGGGTTCTACGACCGACGGTCGTGGCCCCGAAGAGATGCTTGTTGAAGATCTGCGTAATCAAGCTAAAATCGCTCAAATCAGGGTTCAGGATCTAGATCATGAAGTTCATGAATGTTTACAAGAGAACTTGTTGTTAAAAGAAAGGTTGGCTGAAGTTGCGGATGTAGGGGCGTCGTCCCTCACCAATGCTGAGGTCCGAACTCTAAAATCTGAACTAGAGAGTGAGCGCAAAATGAAGTTGGCTAGTGGTGTTCAGCAATATGAGAGATCATGCATGTTCATGGGGGAAATCCAGGATAGGGATGAAAAGATCGGTATCAAGAACTCTGAGATTAAGGACATGAAGCGTAACTTAGATGAAATGAGAAAGAGTCTCAAGGATTCTGAAACGTCCATGTCTAGGGTCAACCCTGAAACACTTCCCTATTCGGCAGGCATTCCCAACTACGATCTCGCATCAAGACTAGTCATCGACAAACTGGAGAATGACGTGAGTGAGGCTAACTGTGAAAATGCAATTCTGAAGTCTTGGGTTTCGCAGATTGACAAGGAGTTGAACTATGAGACAAATGTGGCTCATTCCTATCGTGAACATGTTGTACCTCCTCAACGACAACCTTCTCAATCAAACAAAAGAATCACTGATCTGCTGAAAGAGGTCGACAACAAGATAGCTGACGGAACTGAGAGGGACTACTACAAGCCACCGAGTGGATGGGGCGGTCCGCCTGACCCTGATGGACCTCCTGACCCTTTTGGGCCTAACGGTCCAGGGCCACCTCCTGAACCTCCAGGTTTGCCTTCAGTTCGAGGGTCACAACGCGATTCAGCAGATGATGTCTCCACAGCAGCTTACACTGCAGAAGAAGTGCCAAGAATGTCAAGACGGGAGGCTGACAAAGTCTATGTCAGCCCATGGCCTAAACAACAGAATCTTGGAGTTTGGCAATCAGATCTCATCAAGAGTGTTGTTCTTTCTGCAAATGATGGAGACAAAGCTGCATGGGAGGCATGGCTACAGCCGGCTATTCGACCAAATCCTGACATCGAGCTATTGAATGACAGTGGAGGGCAACGATATCAGTCAATCGACGCCAAGTTATCAATTGCATTGTCAAATGTGATAGCCCAAGCCGGTGATGTTGCTCGTCATGTGGCGATCAAATTGAGATTGAGGACACAAAGTCATAGTCGAAGAGGAACCTATGTCATGGGACGGGAAATCTTGGCTATGATCCTGGAGCACTTCAGAACCCCAGGTCAACGAGAGACAGCCTTCACTATGGAGCACATTGTATCAATGAAGTATCTCGGTGACTCAAACCTGGAAGTGTTCTATGAGAAATGGATGGAGATGGTATCAAATATGATGCCGGATGATGTTCCTCCTGACGATTGGCTTCGTGATGCTCTATACAAGAAGATTCGAAATTCGAGTCTTATGATGTTTGACATCAAGCAGTACGAGTCATGGATTGAAGGAGACCAGAGACGAAACTATCGCTATCTGTTGGACGTCATTGAAAGACATATCTCCAGAATCAGGGAGGACAAGCATGTAGCCGCTCGAGAGAAGTATGCAAGAGAATTTGCAGGTGGCGGCAAACCTTCAGCTCCTGCCCCAAATCCGACTGCTGCTGCACCGGATGCAAACCCAAAAGCGAAGCCGAAGGCTACTCCCAAGGAGAAGGCAGCGCCCAAGGCGAAGGCCAAGGCCGATGCAGCTCCAGTTCTACCATCACCACAGCCTAAACAGCATGCAAAAGGGAAAGGAAAAGGTCAAGGGAAAGGAAAGGATCGAGCAAACAGCCGAAGTACCAGCCCTAGATCCAAGAAGAAAATCCCATGCCATTTCCATTTCATCAAGAAAGCATGCAGAAAAGGCAAGGATTGCGAATACAGTCACGACCAAAAGGTGTTTGATGCGAACAAGAATGCAAAAGGCAACGGTCGGAAGCCAGGAACTCCAAGAAGTCAATCTCCGGCAAACAAGACCAAGAAGATTGATGAACCATGCTGGCATTGGGCTAAGGGCAAGTGTCGGTATGGAGACAAATGCAACAAACGCTACGATCCTCATCTATTCAACACTGCTCCAAACACTGAAGCACCAAGCTCAAAGGCTACTCCTGCACTTACCCATGATTGGAGTGATGATGAAGGGACGTTCCATAAGGTTGCATCGAACGTGATCAAGAAGAAGGTCAGATTTGATGAGTCTAAGACTCAAGTTCAATCTTACGTGAAGAAAGACTTCGTGAAGTGCAGCCGGAAGTCCCAAACCATCCCCAAAGGTCATGGTAAGGTGGGCAAGCCCACTGACCAGGTAAGGAAAGATGAGCAATGGTCTTATTCATGCAGGTTAGCTTCAAGCCGAGCGAAGGCAATGGCTATTCTGATCGATGAGAAGGGTGAACACAGTGACATTGATGAAGTCCTGGTCATCGTCGGCCCCAGCTTGGACATTCTGATCAGACTCGACATCGAGGACGGTGAGGTGTCCAGGGAAGTTTTTGTGGAAAACTATGTTCAGCATATTGAAGGTCGATATGGCAAAAGGGGCAACACAATGTGTATCACTGTTCCTGTTGAGGAGAGAGACAAGAGATTCATATTGGATTCTGGAAGCGGTCATGATCTCATTTCATCCACACGAATAAGTAGAATGGATCTACCAACATATGATGACAAGGTCGTCAACTTCCATACAGCAAATGGGGTGACATGTTCGACCAAACGTTCAAGCATCAAGTTCGAGGCATTCGGTGAACCAGCAGAAGCTCACATCCTGGAGGACACACCCTC